TCTTGTTTTTAGTATTTTACATTTTTTATGGCACCATGATTTATTGTTTTAGACACTACTTTTATCTTAACTGTATTTTTACTGTAGTTTATCGTTATTATTGTTCACTGTTATTGTTGTCTGTACTTTATATGTTCTGTCTGTCTGGATTGGAACAGGTCTCTTGAAAACGAGTCCTCGTGACTCAATGAGGTTAGCCTGTAAAGGTTGAATGAAAAATATATATATTTGTCTTTTCTATTGTTCCTTCTGTGACATGTTCTTGTTATTGCTGCACCATGTTCTCATACTTTTCCCAATTTTACGAATTAATTGGCAATATTTATTGCATATGGACTGTACTTATATAGCACCTTTCTGTCTTATTTCAAGACACTCAAAGCGCTTTACACTACAATCTGTGCCTCATTTACCCATTCATACAGCTCTATACTAGACCTCTACAAAGCTAATATGCCATGTAAATAAAGATAATTATCTCATTTGAGTGTGAGATACCTGAAGGATTTTCTCCACAGTCCCTCTGATGTGTTCATTAGATTTGACACCCTCCATCTCCCTTGTGGCCAGAATACGGTTCACCATCTTCCCATCCAAGATGTAACGGACTGTAACGGTGATGTAGTGTGTTTGTCCTCTCCTCTGTCCAAAGGTCTGTCGTGATTGCATGGTCTCTAGTCTGCACCAAAGGAATTACGTATATTGTTATTAGCTCTCAAAGTATATTACATGTAAAACAGATGACTAATTTATAGTTGAGAGATTAAGCAGTTTAAAAGGAGGAGAAAAAACAGATTTAGTGTTAGGAAATCTATAATTGGACTACTGCATGATGTCAAGGTAAAATGTGTGTACTGTATTATAAAATAGTGCAGCGTGACAGACATACCTGATGGAGCTCTTCCATGACCATTTTTTTAATTTGATCATATTCTCCTTGAACATGACGAGAGACCGTGCGTCCACATGGCAGTATGTCTTGTGCCTCAGTGTTGTTTCCATACTTTGCTCCAATGTCGATTGCCTCCTGTATGACGTCGATGAAACCTTTCCCATCTACTACAGCAAATGGTCTCAAATCTACGCCGCACATGCGGGCTATTTTGTTGGTCATACGAGACTTGACTCCCGACGGTACTTTTCGTTTAATGAATGAAGAAATGCTTGGCTGATTCGTTCCGAAATTAGCCTTGCAAGTGTGCCTCTTCAGACCGCTCGTCCCCGAGTCAGTGGCGTACTTTATTATAACTGAGCATGTTTTGCAAGCAGCGTAGAGCGTCTTCACACCGTCACACTCGACTCTCATAAAGTTCTGAACTATTAGCGCCTTCCCTGACAGTTCTGTTAACCTAACAGATGCGTCATTATTCCTAACTTTGCGTTGCAAAATATTTTTTACCCTCTCGGTTTCTCCGCTGGCGTATGCTCCCTCCATGATGTTGGTTGATACAGTAAACAAAGGTTGGAAAAGGCGGCCGGAAGCTGTTGGCGCAGCCGCCTGTCTGAAATTTATTATTATTATTTTTTTTGCCTATTTCTTTTTTTGTCCTATGTTGGCTCCCGCTCCCGTCTGCTCCCGTTAAGTTTTCGTCCTGTCCGGTCCCGATAACGGGAGTTATAATAAAGTTGACTCCGGTCCCGCCGGAATCCGGCCGGATTCACGTGACCGGCAGTACTCCCGAAAAAATGTCATCCTCTACTATAGACCTGTAGCTCTCACGTCTGTAGTCATGAAAACCTTTGAACGCTTGGTTTCATCTCACCTCAAGTCCATCACCAACCCCCTCCTGGACCCCCTGCAGTTTGCCTACAGGGCCAACAGGTCTGTAGATGATGCAATAAACCTGGCTCTTCACTTCATCCTGCAGCACCTGGACTCCCCAGGAACCTACGCCAGGATCCTGTTCGTGGACTTCAGCTCTGCATTTAACACCATCCTCCCTGCTCTGCTCCAAGACAAGCTCTCCCTGCTCCATGTACCTGACTCCACCTGCAGGTGGATCACAGACTTCCTGACAGACCGGAGTCAGTGCGTGCAGCTGGGGAGAGCTGTCTCGGACACTCGGACTGTGAGCACAGGATCTCCACAGGGCTGTGTGCTTTCCCCCCTGCTTTTCTCCCTGTACACCAACTGCTGCACCTCCAGCCATGACTCTGTGAAACTTATCAAGTTTGCAGATGACACCACCCTCATCGGGCTCATCTCGGACGGTGATGAGTCTGCATACAGGAGGGAGGTGGACCGGCTGGTGACCTGGTGCAGCAGCAACAACCTGGAACTCAATGCCCAGAAGACAGTGGAGATGATTGTGGGTTTCAGGAAAGCCACAGCCCCTCTGCCCCCCCTCACCTGTAATGATACCCCCATCACCACTGCGAACTCTTATCGGTTCCTCGGCACCACCATCACCCAGGACCTCAAGTAGGAGCCGACCATCAGCTCCCTCATCAAGAAGGCCCAGCAGAGACTGTACTTCCTGCGACAGCTGAAGAAGGCCAAGCTGCCGGCCAAGCTGATGGTGCAGTTCTACACGGCCATCATGGAGTCCATCCTCAGCTCCTCCATCACGGTGTGGTA